TGGACCTTGATTGTAATGGAAGTTTGTCCTTAAGAGAGAGGTATTTCTATTCTAGTTTATTTCTTGGTGATTCAGTAATACACTCTGTCTGCTGCAATTTACGTTTCTATAGCACCAACTAGCTCACGCGTGGTTGAAAAACAGGGGGCCAATGACCATGTAGCATGGAAGCCGTGCTGGTTCTCATGCATTTCCTCCCGTCCCCGATGCGAGGGGCCTGATACGGCATGGCGGGGGCGGGGAGGACCACTTCGGTAGGAAGGGCTCAGCGTGGCTTCCACTTCTTTCTTTCTTTCAATTTTAAGTGAACACCCGCACTCGGAGCTCTCTCCCGGAGAAGCACCTCTTGGCCTTGCAGATCCCAGGCTGCACCTGCCTCTGTGCCCACCTCGCCGGCTCACGGCTCCGAAGGCAGAGTTCTGCTCTGCTGCTTCTGGGCATTTTGAGTACCGAAGCAGCTTCTGGCCCTACGCAGCTGCCGGTTTGGCCGTCCGAGTTATCTCCCAAGGTACCACCAAGTATTGCTTCTGTTAGACTCATTACAAAGTCACAGAGGTTTCCAGTGGTCTGCTCTTAACCTTCTTTCCCCGCATAAGCCCTGTTACTTTTACCGTGCAATTTTATAGAACGTGAGGGTTTTCAGGAGCACATGTGACTTCTTAATGGAAATGCCTACCTTCTTTCGAGCGCTGCAGAGAGCAGCAGCAGTGGGAGCAAAGACGACTGAGCAAGGCCTCCCTGCGGAGAGCTTGTGTCCCTGCCAGAAGCCCAGGCTGCGAGGCCGGCCCCTCTTCCCAGTCCAGACACTGCAGCAGGACGTCTGGGTCCTGACCCCGTCCGATGCGGCACAGACGACCACTTTTCTCTGGGTTTCTGCTTTGGAGAGAGAGTGTAGCGGCATGAATTCGCTAAATGTCTTCCTGAGTAAAGCCTTTCTCTTTACCTTCTTCGAAACTTGTTCGTGGACATGCACTTCGAGTCTCCTTATTCCTCTCACACGTCAGTGCTCGCTCCCTCCCTGGGAGTCCTGTGAGAACGTGTCCCTCTCTGCACGGAAGCCCTGGCCACCGAAGCCCTGGCCACCGCCTGTCCCGTGTTACTATGGTGGCGTGTGCGTGTGCGTGCACGGATGCCCGTGCACATTATGTCTGCAAGTGGGTGTGCCTTTCACCTCAGTGACACTCAGTGACGCTCCTCCAGGGCAGCCACTTTGTTTACTGCCTAATAAATGTTTACTGAGTGAACAACCCCCACCCCCACCCCCACCCCGCAAAGCACCGGCTCACTCTGGGCCCTTTCCTAAGGTGAGTCTCACACCCGCGCTGTGAAGCCCAACGCAGATGCTCGAAGACAAAGCTATGCGTTCAAACTTCCCTGTAGCAGTTATTGGGAATTATTCTGGGGAAGTAAAAACCAAAAAGTGATGTAAGAACCTTATGTGCAATATATTATTCATCTTTTTAAAAAATTAATAAGCAGCAGACAGGAATTGTTGAATTTGGCTGCTCTGATAGTTCCCGCTTCCGTCTGCCAGGCTCTGGAGGGTGACTGTCTCCTGAGGGAGTGACAGTGTGGAAAGAACCTCCAGGTGACTCCTGCTTAGAGAGGAGACTGGCTAGCAGGGTTCTGCCTCCACAGCAGGGGGACGTGTGGGCCTGGAGGGAGGGAGGGAGGTGGACTCAGCTGCTTTGACTGAAACACCAACCTGCACTGTCCCTTCCTCTGGGGGAGTGTCCGGGGATCTGTTGAGTGTCTTTGCTGCCCAACTCTGCCTTCGAGAGGGTAGGGGACAGCGTGCGTGAAGATCTATGGCAGAGCGTACCTATGGTGGTTCAGTGTGGATGGAGGGCAGGTTCGCGGGGGAGGTGTGGAGAGGGAGACTGGAGAGGGAGGTGAGAACCCCTCTGCGAGGCCCCGTGGGCTACACCAAAGAGTGGCTTTTTATCGTGACGGACATGGAAAGGGCTTCGGAGTTTTAAGAAGACTATCATGATCGGTTTTGTAACCACCGTTGCCAATAGCTTAGTGGCTGAACCAAGGGGTCGTCCCCATGACGATTTCCATCAGTGCCACCGAGGAAACACACGCTCTGAGTCAGAAATGTCTGCTCGCTGTATAATCATAGCAGAAGAATGAGAATAGCTCCACTTACCGAAGATTTCTACGTGCCAGGCACTACTCCAAATGATATTTTAACGTGTGTTAACTTAGTCTTTGCAAGATAGAGACCTAAGGTCGCACAATCATTAAGTGCTGGTGCTGCGACTTGAACCTACGTGGGTTGGGTCTGGAGGCCCTGCTTGCGATTGGGGCCCTACCCGCCTCGTGAGCCCCCAGCCCCCACTCTCAACCAGGTCGTCTCCCCTAAGCTGATCTTACACAGAAATGCTGACGGCACCACTGATCCTGGCAGTGCGAACACTGGGTTGGAGAGATCCGGACCAGAAGCAGGGATAACTGTTGGGAGACTGTCACTATCATGCTGCTGAGACACGGTGGTGACTGGAAGCAGCGAAGACAGAAATGGAGGGATATGAGGGACATTAAGACCTGATAATTCAAACAGATAAGAAAATGAACATTGAATTCCTAGCACCAAGCCTGGTACATGCTATTTTTGCTGTATCAAAGTATTATGATATTTTTATTATTATCAGTTGGATTAGTCTCCAGGTTTAAGTCATCAATTTTAATAATAAATTTACATGAAATAGCTGCAAGTAAACTTTTTCTATAGTGAAAAGAAATATGAATAGCCCTTTACGGATTATGCAACATTCATTGTCAAATTTGATGTTAAAAATCACCTTTCTGTATTAGTTTGATAGGGCTGCTGTAACAAAGTACCACAAACTGGGTGGCTTAAACAGAAATTTATTGTCTCACGGTTCTGGAGACCAGCATCCAGGTGTCATAGGGTTGGTTCCTTCTGAGGCCCATGAAGGAGAATCCGTCACAGGCCTGTCCCCCAGCTTCTGGTGCTTTGCTGACAATCTTTGAACCCAGCTGCCCTCCTGGATGCTGGATCTCGGAGGCCTCGTTGCTGGTGTGTGTGTGTGTGTGTGTGTGTGTGTGTGTGTGTGTGTGTGTGTGTGTGTGTGTGTGTGTCTCCCCATCCAAATTCCTTTTTATAAGGACACCAGTGATTTTGGATTAGGGGACCGTTTTATTTCAGTGTGACCTCATTTTAACTACATTACACTGGCAACAATCCTATTTCGAAATAAAGTCACACTCTGAGGCACTGGGGATTTAGCACTTCAACATATGAATTTTGGCGGGACACACTCCAACGGACAACACCTTTATAGCAGGTAAAGCAGGAAGGATTCTTATTCCCATTTTAAAGACAAAGAAACTGAGTCTCAGAAAGATGAAATCGTTTCTCCAAGGTAACTGAGTCCCTGGGTCACAAATGCATGTCTTCTGTCTGACCTAGTGGTCAGAGAGCCAAACGGTATCTCTTGCTATGAGCTTGTCTAGTCGTCCTCACATACTTGGAGTAGGAAGCACCGAGGCTGCACCAAGGTGTGTTAGTTGAGTGATGAGAGGTGGTCAAATGTGGTCTCCTCTCAGAATCAACTGCAGATGCCCTGTTATTAGCAGCTTCATTCTGCTCATTCGGTGGCTGGCCGTGTGGCTGCACCTCATGAGGGCTTGACTTCCAGAAGACCTGTTTACTCAAATTGTTTCTCGTCAGTCTGTTGTTTCTCTCTGGTGGGCCCAGAGCTGAGAGGAGCTGGGTACAATGAAGCTGTTCAGGGCAGAGAGCAGAATGCCCCGAGCCTCCCCTTTCTCTCTATAGCATCATTCTTTGCCACGCTGTGCCTTGCTTTTGTCCTGCCTGTCGAGTGTGGGCGTAGGGAGTGTGTGAACTGCCAGCAGTGAGAGAGTGTGGCGAGGACACCTGCCTGATGACTTATCACCAGGGCAGGGAGCAACGGGCAAGCTTCCCAGGAATGGCTCTGCCAACTCACCACCTTCCGTTCTGCCTTCGTCACTCTCACCAGCGAAAGCTGCTGTCCCTGGGTTCCCCTAGGCAGAGAGGAGAGGCACAGCCCATTCGTGAGCCCCACCCTTGGGAGGCAGTGTGGGAAGTAGTCAAGGGCAGATTCCAGGGATAGATTCTAATCCCGGCTCTGCCACTTACCCACTGTGTGAATTCAGGGATGTTCGGCCTCCCTGCCCTTTCCTCGTCTGTAAAATGGAGATGATAAATTTGTTTACCTCAAAAGGTTATCACATGGATAAAGGATACAAGCCTTAAACGGTGCCTAACACATGTCTGCCACATAACTCGAGCACTCGGCCAATGTAAGCAAGTCCTTCCTTGTTTATTTCCCAAATGCCATTTGTTGATCTGTTCATTGAAACTGGCAGGATACATATAAGAAGTTAACAGTGGTTACATCTGGATGGTGCAATTCATATTGCTTATTCGTATTTTCTAAACTTTTAGTAGTAAATATGTATTACTTTTTTAATAAGAGAAAATAAGTCCCCGTCGAGGATCAATGGGGCACAATGAACTAGGGATGAGAGGGTACAAAGCGAAGACGTGACCCTTGTCCTTAGTGGAGTTTAAAGTCTATGGAAAGAGACAAAACAGGTAAATTAATGATATGAGGGACGGGCAGCAATGCACGGGGCGGGCCCAGTGTGGATCCAGTCCCCCTCGGGTGGCGCCCGGCATTGCAGAGACGCCGTTGGTTTTGCCCCCGCGTTCTTTGTGCGTGGTCTTCCCTGATCTGGAAACAGGAAAGCAAGATGACACACACGGCCAGGCCAGGTAAAAGGGTCACTCCTCTAACCTAGCCCCGCGCCCTGGGGGACAGGGACAGGATTGCTGAGATCCCTTTCTATGGTACCTACTTCCAGGAAGGGGTTTCTGTCAAAGAAAACGTCGAGATGCTTTATGTAGCACCTCTTACAAATGACAGGTGTGAGCCCAGCATGTCAAGTGGGATGAAGTAATTTCCTGTTTCTCTGTCTCTCCACAGCATTATCAGCAGCATCATCGTTCTGGCTGGAGCAATCGCACTTATCATCGGTTTTGGTATTTCAGGTATGTGATTTCTTGCATTAGCGCCACCCATTCGCCCCTCGCCACTAGGCCCCAATCACTCAGCGTGGCAGGATGAAAAGGGCACAGGTCTTGGACCCAGGAAGTCTCAGAGTGGAGACCTGGTTCTTCTACTTATTGACTGTGTTCTCCTCGCATTAGTCATTTACCTCTCTGGGGCTCAGGTTCCTCATTTACAGAGTAGAGGAAATAATGTCCACAGCTCCAGGTAGTAGAGAGAATCAAATGGGATGTTTATCAGGGTGCTCTATCTACCAGCCCTTGCTGAAGACATCACTCTGGGCTCGGAGGTCAAGTGCAGTGGCTGAGCCATTCTTTCAATGATGGACCTGGGTAGATGAGTCCTTTGTAATGAAGCTTCAGCTAAAATGTTGAAGAATATCGAGTTTTTGCACAAAAGGGTACAAAAGGGTACAAAGGTCTTAGGCCATGACTGCTGTTCCATGTGGGAAACCGATGCCTTCGTGGCATGAATGGTGAGTTTGAGTGGTTAACGTATGTCCACTGCAGGAACTGTCTTCTCTCTCCTCCTCGGGGTAGACCAGGTCTCGGAAGGAGCGATTATGGACACCACGTTCATTAAGACGCTGGGCGAGTTAGGCTGACAGCTATCTCCTCCAAGGCAAGTTTTTTTGCTATTTCCCTTAAGCTGCCTGACTCAGGCCAACACATTTATTTTAACTTAGTCTGTGGCCAAAGCTGTCACTTCATAACTTCTGTTTAATAGTTTCAGCTGCCCTTTCTCTCTGTCACTCTCCTCCAGGGGGGGGGTGTGCTGCCACCAAACAGTGGTCCCAAGGCCTAAGCGAAGAAAACTCAGTGTAGGTATGTTTGCCTGGGAAAGATGTCAGCGGCACCTTTCTCACTTCCTTTATCACCAAAAATGTATACTTGTCTTTCGTCCATTTTTCTATTGAGTGATCTTTTTTTTCTTTTTAATTTGTAGGAATTCTTTATTCTTTTTTTATTATTATTATTTTATTATTTATTATTTATGCCTACAGCACCTGGTCTTCCTAGGTGGTCTCTCACCCAAGTACTAACCAGGCCCGACCCTGCTTAGCTTCCGAGATCAGACATCGGGCTTGTTCAGGGTAGCATGGCCGTAGACCATGGACCACGGCTCCACTGGGGCACAAACCCAGGACCTTCTACGTGTAAAGCAGACGAGCTAACTGCTACACTGTGGAACCACGTTCTCTCTATTTATTCTAGATGCAGTTTGGTTATATGTATTGCAAGATCTCTTCTACTCTATGGCTTGCTTTTTCACTCTCTTAATGATGTCTTTCAATGAGCAGAAGCTCTTAATTCTAACATAGTCCAACTTACCAATCTTCGTATTTATATCTAGAGCTTATAGTAACCCATTTGGTTAAGAAGTCTTTGCCTATCCCGAGGTCATGAAGATTCTTTTAAGTCATCTTGCAGAAGCTTCACTGTTTCCCCTTTCACAGATGTATCTATGAACCATCCAGATTTAATTCTGTGCACAGTGTAAGATAGTAGTCAAGATTCACTTGTTCCACGTGGCTGTCCAGTTGACCCAATACCATTTATTGAAAACGCTGTCCTTCCCCTACTGCTCACCAGAGCCATTTTCGTCATAAATCAAGTATCCAGATGTGTATGGCTCTGTTTCTGAACTCACCAGCCCGTTTCACTCTAATATTCTTTTATAATTTACTTCTCTTCATGTTATTTTTTCTCCTTTCCTATTCCTAATCTTGGGCATTTTTGTCTGTCTGTCTGTCTCTTTCTTTCGTGTCTTAAAACAGATTTACAAGGTGTCATGGGTGTTGTGGTAGTTCTGAGAGAATCAGGTTTTAGTTTTATTTTTACTTTCCCTAATTGTTTATCCATTTAATTAATTTTGGCTTTTATCTTTGTTAATGTCCCTCTTTCTGCTTTGTTTTCCTAGTTTTAAATTCTTTTTATATCTTAAAAAAAAGCCCTTCATAAAACAGTATGCCCAGAAAGCCAATAAACAGCCCTTCAGTAGATATTGCCACTCGGCTTCCCAAAGAGCTTACCAAGCTGCCCTTCCCCGGAAGTGTGTGAGGGATCCAGCGCCGGGTACTGTGGAATCTTGTGGTTTTCATTTCCATTTACTGGTCACTGAGGAGACTAAGTGAGTGTATTTTCACATGAGAAACATAACGCTAAGTGACAGAGCCTGAAACAGAGCTGTACATTCTGCTTAATTCCATGTGTGTAAAGCTCAAAAACAAGCCGATGAGTCTGTGTCGTGAGAAGGCGGAGTCACGGTCAGTGACCCGGGAAGGGGGACAGCGTGGCCGTTGGGAGCGGGCACGGGGGGGCGTCCTGGAGGCAGCAGCGTTCTAGTTCTTGGTGCGGACGGTGGTTACATGGGACGAAACTGTGATAATTCTTCAAATTATTCAGTTGCAATGTGTCCATTTTTATGCATGTCTGTAATACAATATACGCACAGAAGTACGTGTGTGTGTGTGTGTGTGTGTGTGTGTGTGTGTGTGTGGAAATAAAATACCAACTGGTAAATACTTTGGACTAACTTTAAAAAACATCAATGCGTACATTTTGGTACCTTCCTCACTAATGCTTAAATGCTTGCCCTTCACTCTACATCTTGGCGACCAGCGATTTTTGGCCTAGGGCTAAATGGCTTGTCATCAGACCCCCTCTGAAGTTACCTTTCGGTTGTTAGTGGCTTTAATTACACTAGCAAGAATTTTCACATTTTGCAGCTTCCCTGTGACAGTCAACACTTTGCTACTTAAACCTTTTCCGGCTGCACAGCTACGGTGACCTCAAGTGCTTAGCTTAGTGCCTCGACTACAGAGGAGAGGGTGCCCCTTAGGTGCTTGTTGAACAGACAAGGGAACGAATGAATACACGGTTAAAAGTTACAGTCTACTCAATCCAACCACCAATCCAATCAATCTTTCCGAATGATTCTAGTTCATAATGGCTATCGATATCATTGACTTAAGGTTTCACATGTGGCGAGTCAGGCACTATATTAATCTCTTTACCTGCTTCGTATCATTTAGACCTCTCAGAGACCCTCTGGGGGAACTACGGTTATCAGCATCCTCATTTTACAGATGAAAAAGCTATGGAATAAAGAAGTTAGACAACTCGCCTAAGGTCACATGTCCAGAAAGTGGCAGAGTGGCACCTGAACCCTGACAGCCTGAGACCTGTGCCATGTTCTCAGACACCATGCTTTGCTGCTATTCCCTGCACTGTCCCTTGATCTGGCCTGGCCCAGTAGCTTCCCTCATTTCTTCTCATACAAACAACTGCTACCACCAACCCTGCCCCTTCTCTGGCAAGAATGGCACTCATGTGTGCCACCCCAGGCTCCACTGGTGCAGGCTGAACCTGTGTGTTTCTACCTTGAAGCCATGTGCTACGGTGCCCATCTGGACCACTGGGTTCCCGCAGATGCTGACCATCTGCTGACAGCTTCTAGGATGCTCTCTATGTCACTGGAATCTACAGAACTTGTCTTACTGAGTCATTTCAAAGAAAAGTTCATTTTCCATGTTTTATCCAGTGGTGTTGGAACCCTAATTTTTGTAAAGAATCCTTGCCTTGTGTGACCTGTAACCCCGTTTTCCAAGAGATTCCTGCTCCTGTGGCAGAGGGCGATCGAATAGTGCTCGCCCCGTGTCGACACAGGCCGGCTCAGATTTAGCTTGTCCCCTGTCACAGCTAGCTCCTCTTTGCCCATGTAGACCAGGGTTGTGACACGAGCTGGAGAAGTCATTTTCAGTCAGTGACTGGGTCTTCCAGCTTTAAAGAAGTCTGATGGACTTTTAGAGGCCAATGAAATCATTAAAATCGCTGCCCATCTAAATTAACATAATTCTGTATTACGGGACAGCTGCCCCTAACCCACCCACTAGAGCCCTCAGCCCACCAACTCACGTGAGAGCCCCTGGCGGTTAAGAGACCTGCAGAGTCATATCAGGCCCGACCGTGTTTCCCAGAACGTAGCTCCCTGAGCCAATATTTGTTTGCAAGTTTGGATACAGATTTCTTTGGGTGAGAAGCAATATTTACATGCTGTTGCTGACAAATTAAATTTCATTTTATCGCTTTTAAGCATCATTCATTTGCCTAACAAATAAGTATTCATTGATTGCTTTCTGGGTGCCAAGAAATGGCTAGGTCCTCATGGTTTTTTACGTTCTCGCTGGCCTTTATTCCTCCTCTTGATTTGATATGGGAAGGATGGGATTTAATCAACATGACACTCATTCCATCTGCCACATCTTTAATGCAACTTTAAATGAGCTGGAGCCTGCAGCAGGTCCCTGGGGCACTCCACAGCAGCCTACTTTTAATCATTAAGTTCTCTAAGAGATATTTCAACAAATTCCCTACCTGTGGGCTCAAGGCCAACACATTAAAATTAATTCGGTAACACAATTACAAACTAAAATATGTCATTACTGTTTCATTCTCTCCATAAACGGTGTTAATTACGTATTTTTTCTGAAAAGTAATTTTTCAATTCAACTTTAATGGCACTTTATAAACTACAATCAAGTTTACCCTTGCTCTAACGTAGCTACATTTGCTCCATGGTTTTATCGAGAACCTCTGTGTGTTTTCACTGCCTTCTTTTTCAATGGCTCACATTTCCCCCAAATTCAGATGCAGCGATCCTGCCAAATGTACCTTACGCCTATGATCATTTTGGATGGAACCATTATCTTAAATAGCGCCTTGATTTCTACTGATTTCCATTCATTCATTCAACAAATATTATTTTCCGCTGCAGAAACACAGCACTAGGCACTTGTCTTAGTTTGCTCAACTGCCATAACAAAATACCACAGATGGGGTGGCTTAAACCACAGGAAGACAGTTCTAGAGGCCGGGAGGTGCCCCCGGTCCCAGGACGCTTCACCTCTAAGGCTTCCATCAAAAGTCCTCTGGCCTGTTGAAAAAGAAGTGAGGACATCACCCTTTGAAACCAAAGAGGCAGCCCTAATGATCTGAGTCACCCTCAGGATTATTCTTGTCTTTTCTGGAAGAACAGCACATGTTCACAGCTGAATAGCTCTATGGTCCAGTCCTATGGGACCTAGGAAGCCTGACGGCCCTCCTTAATTTTGTCTTTTTTCTACCTCCTTAGTTTTCCTGTCCTCAGCTGGCAGTGTTTCTGCTGGTACGATACCATCTCTATTCATGACTTGAGCTGAGGTGGCCGATTAGGCCCATAAGTGGTACTTAGTCTCCTCATCAAATGGCTGCTTAGCTACAGCCTAGTGCTCTCTTCAGAACAGCTTTCTCATTTTTTGCAATCTGGATAGGCTGAGAATCTTCAAAATCTTCAAGTTATGGTTCCTTTTTGCTTAACAATCCTTTCTTCAATTAATCTCTCTCCTTTCCCATATTTTACTATATAGAGTCAAGAGTAACCAAGCTGCTTGTTCAACACTTTGCTGATAAATCTCCTTGGCTAAATATGCCATTTTATCACTCGCAAATTCAACCTTCCACAAAACACTAGAGCACAGTTCAGCCAAGTTCTTTGCTACTTTATAACGATAATTGCCTTTCCTCCAGTTTCCAATCACATATTCTTCATTTTCATGTGAGATCGCACCAGATGGCCCTTAACATCCATACTTCCAGCAGGCGTGTCCAAATTCTTCCAGTCTTCACCCATTACCCAGTTCCAAAGCATGTGTAGACGTGCCTCGATATTTATTATAGCAGTACCCCACTTTTTGGTACCAAAATTTGTATTCGTCAGGATTCTTCAGAGAAACAGAACCAATAGGATGTGTGTGTGTGCATGCATGTGTGCACATATGTGTGCATGTACCAATAGGATGTGTGTGTGTGCATGCATGTGTGCACGTATAGAGAGAGACAGAGAGAGAGACAGACAGACAGACAGAGAGACAGAGACAGAGAGACAGAGAGATTTAGAAAGCACTGGCTCACATGATTACGGAGGCCGCGAAGTGCCAAGATCTGCAGTGAGCAACCTGGAGACCCAAAGGGTTTAGTTCCACTCTGAGTCTGAAGGCTTGAGAACCAGGAGAGCCACTGGTACAGTTCCGGTCCGAAGGACAGAAGACTCGAGACCCCAGGGACAGCGTCTCAGGTTGAGTCCAAGGCAGGAAAAGACAGATGTCCCAGCCCAAAGCCGTCAGGCAGGCAGCAAGAGTTCCCTTTCACTCGCTGTTTTGTTGTTGTTCTAATCAGATCTTCAGTTGCCTGGATGAGGCCCACCCGCATTAGGGAGAGTGATCTGCTTGACACCGTTTACTGATTCAAATATTAACCTCATCTACAAACGTCCTCACAGGCACACCCAAGACTTTGGACAAAATGTCTGGGCACCCTGTGGCCCAGGAAAGTTGACGCATAAAATCAATCATTGCAGCATTATAGGAATTACCAATATTATTTAAGCAGTTTCTGCCCTTGAAAAGCGTACAAAGTAGTGCCAGAGACAGACTCGAGACCAGGTAGCGGAGACAGCAGCCATCATGAAGACAAAGGGAAGTGTCAAGGGAGAGTAGAGAGGGAATCTATTAACTTCGTCTTGGTGGATCAAAAGGCTTTCATGCAAGGGCTGCCATCTGAGCAGCCTTGAATATAAATGGAGTTTGGATAACTGGTGATAAAGGAGAGGGGAGACCTATAAATTGTAGGTGCAAGGTGAACAAGGCAGTACCAGCCAGGCCAGCATGTCCTGATATCAGTCTGTCACGTAAAAATAATTGAAAAACAAATTAAATCTTTAAAGTAGTGTTCAAAACAGTGCCAGGGCAGGGTGTGAGGTGTGTTGCATTCACGTTACACAGCAAAACTCACACTGTTTCATAATCCCTTGCACAAACCTCCCACGAGCACGGCTGCTCGCGGCCGCTGCTCCCGGCTCTCTCCTCTCCACTCCGCTCCCAGTCCAGAGCCTCCAAAACCTCCCGGCCCGGCCTATGCTCACGTGTGTCCTCTACCTCTTTTTTTACTTACAATTTTCCTTCCATCGGTAGCTCTCTGTTCTTTCTCACGTGAACCCGTCTAGCTTAGCTTCTCCAGGTCTGTGCCCCTTCCGTGACCTTCACTTACCTTATAAGGGCCTAGCAGCCAATCAGATAATCCCAACCCCTTACTGGCTGGGAGAGGTGAGGGAGGGTATCACAGTGTTTTACCTCTTACAGCTGAAAAATACCTAGTATGCTTTGCTTATGGATTTTTCCATTGAAAGCAGAAAACCAATACATCACTTGGTACAAATAAACAGTACAGACTATGAAGGAGTGTATGGGAAATGAGGCGGGAAAGGTAGCAGTAGAGCCAGCATCTACAGGCACTTCCTACGTGCCAGGCAGCACTCAGGTTTGAAGGCTATGCCAGGTCGACCAAACTTGGCTCCACAGCCCTCAGGAGCCATCGAAGATTAGTAATTAGAAAACCAACGTGTCCGGGTCGCACTTTAAGCCCTGCCTATAAGGAGAATGAGCGTGAAACGGGTCGGGAGGAGGAGTACCAAAAGGGAAGCTGAGAGACCCAGCTGAGAAGGGGTCCCAGCCCTATCGCGTTGGCCTCTTCTGGCTGTAGAGAGGTCAGCGCAGACCCTTTTAACACAAGGTGTTTGTTTAAAGGGTACTCAGAGATGGGGCGGGAATGCGACCTGAAAACCCCCAGGACCTACGACAGCTCTGGGGACGGGGGGCTCTCTTCATCTGTCACTCGTGGTCTCTCCTGCACACTTTTTTGTGTCTGATCCACTTTCCTTTTGTGCCCAAAGACATGTCCTCTCCTTAGCGTCACAGCCAAACCATGGGAGCCTCTCAAGAAGATTCAGTTAATAAATCACTGCAATAGGTGTCCTCAGTCAGCAGCCCCCAGTGCAGAAGGAACGGCCTGCCAACCCTTCACTGACTGAGTGGACTATCCTCTGGGCAAGTGTGGAAAAGGTGGTGGGCACGCTGGCGCCATAATTAATATTCTACTGGTGATATGTTTGGAGAGGAGGGAGCATCTTCTATCTGAGGCCAAAAAACAATTTAATTAAGTACCATTCTTCATTAGGACCATAGCTGGCACTATAACATTGATCAAGTCACTTATCTTCTCTACGTCTTAGTTTCTTCATCATTCAAATGGAAATAAAAGTAACAGGACTTTAGAATGTAGCATTCTTCAGAATTACTAGTCACATTTAGTAACATAAGGTTTCACTTCTGAGCCAAGTCTGGTTAAGTAAGAATAACAATATCTTAAAGGTATAATTACAGTTTGCAAATCAAGTTCACATCCATTTGATTTGATCCTCGCAAGAACTCTTAGAGATGGGTAAGAAAGATATCATTATCTCCATTTCTCTGAGACCCAGAGAGGTTACATGACTTATTCAAGATCACGCAGATGTTAAGTGGCAAAGCCAGAACTTGAATTCTCATCTTCGAAACCCAATTTCAATAGGTTCTCCTCTTGTTGCCTCGCACAGTTTGGGTTACTTGGCCTCAAAAAGCTATTTTTCATGGTAGATCTGCTGTAGATATCGAAACTATTACCTTCCTGCTCTTTCTATTCTTCTTACGTCTTCTTTTTTATACCTCTCCTGTTCTTCTGTACTTCTAACTCATCACGGCAGTCTCTGTTTGGCTTTTAGTCACGAAGGCTGTGGTTGCAGAAGTTCCTAAGTTTCCCTTGGCATTGACCCTTGTCTCCTCCGTTGCAGGGACACATTCCATCACGGTCACTACTCTCACCTCAGCGGGGAACATCGGGGAGGATGGAATCCTGAGCTGCACTTTTGAACCTGACATCAAACTTTCTGACATCGTGATACAGTGGCTAAAGGAAGGGGTTACGGGCTTGGTCCATGAGTTCAAAGAAGGCAAAGATGACCTGTCAGACCAGAATGAGATGTTCAGAGGCCGGACGGCAGTGTTTGCTGATCAAGTAAGAGTCGGCAATGCCTCTCTGAGGCTGAAAAATGTGCGACTCACAGATGCTGGCACCTATAAGTGTTACGTCCTCACTGCTAACGGCAAGGGGAATGCTGGCCTTGAGTACAAAACTGGAGGTAAGTTAGTTTTGGAGAGACAGTGCCAAGATATTTGAGGCTAAAAAGCATGGTTTGCTGATGAAATATCATGTTGTTATGCTCATAAGTGACTAATATCAGACAAGACCCTAGAATCTTGCCAGTAGCCAGCCTTACTGTTCAAGACCCACACCATCTCTAAAGGTAGCATGCTATAATATTAGGTCTTAAAATCTTTTGTTTTGGCTCTAACCTCTTCTGAATTTTCACGTATACTCCCTGAAATATCTTGCCAGAATAAATATAGTCTCTTTTATTGTAGCCTCTGGTACCTATAATCTGGCCTGAGACTTTTCAATGCTAAGCAGGCCCTAGCCCAAGTCTGAAATCGGTACTTTCAGGGAATTACAACAGTGGAACTCATTGTAGGTAAAGTTCAAAGGCAATTAAATAAGACAATACTGTCCTATAAACTCACGCATCCTCCTCCAATGAAATCCACCCTTCCTTACCAACTAAATTTAACATGTTTTCTGAATTTATGTACAAGGGACTCAGATAGATGCTGTAGAGAGTAAAAAAGACGATTAAGGAAACAAAGACAATTGTCCCTTCTCCTGCAGAGCGCATAGTATAGAGCTTACAGAGTTGAGGGTTGGGGCAGAGATAAGAAAAATAATTGCTAGAGTGTCTCAAAGGCTTTAAGAGACGTATAAGTGAGATGATTTGCGGATTCAGATGAAGAGAGAGATCATATCTAGATGCATTGGGGGGTAAGGGACAGGAAAGCCCCCATGGGGAGAATGTCGCGTTTGAGAGGAGTCTGGACGGATACACAGGAAGTGTCCTGCGGCCTCGTAGCCTCGGCGAGCGTGCACAGGCCGTCCTCAGACACCTCATAACATGCGTACGCAATGGGTTGAATGACAGATCTAGAGCCAGACCTGGGCAAGTACAGTGGCCTGGGCAGAGCGACCTCGCTGAGTCTCAGCTTCTGTATCTTAAATGGGGATTAATATGGTCACGTCATAGGGATACTGAGGCCAACTGAAAGGGCTTCCAATGGCAAAGCAGGAGCAGCTCGAGCAACAAAATAAACAACATGGTATTAAATTATCACTCATCATCATTATGAAATAAATATGGGTGAGTCTGTACTTACATAAATATAAATCTTCTTTACAGATAAATTCCAAATAACATACTTAGATGTGTCCCCCATCAGGAGATGGAGCTTAGTACTTCCCTGCCCCCCAACACACTCAGGGCGAGTTTGACTTAGCTAAGTCCAGCTTCCAAGTACACCTGGCAGACACTGCCCCAGCCAGCTGATCACAGCCGACACCATCAACGATACGTCATCCAACGGGAAGTGATGATTTACCTCCGATAGTCTTCCTCTCCAAAACCCACAACTTCAGTCTAAACATGAGAAAACACCAGACGAATGCCAGTGGAGGGGCGTCCTACAGAATGCGTGATCAGCACACCTCAAAACTGTCAAGATCACAAAAAGCACAGAAAGACTGAGAAACTGTCAGGAACCAGAGAAGCCTGAGAAGACGTGACAAATAAATGCAGTGTGGCGTGCTGGATGGGGCCCGGGGACAGAAAAAGGACGTTAGTGGAGACGCTGGTAGAATCCAGAGAGAGGCTTCACAGGCAAAGCGAGGGCTGCCCTTCACTCCTCACTCAGCGCTAGCACAGGCCTAGCACAGGCGAAGGAAGCTGCTAAATAAATTAATGGATCGCATCTTGCCATTTTGGCATGATAAGCATTTTACAGTCAAAAGTCCAGGCCACGTGTCTCTCTGCCTAGATAATGGAGGAAGCTAGTCTTAATTTCAAAATGCAGTTTTCTCTCCAATTAGGAGAATTATCTTAGAAGAAAACAAATGCCTGTCTCCATCCCCGGATACCACAGCAGGAAGGACAGTCTCGGCCCAAGAAAACTCCAAATCCCCATGAGCACAAGGCCCGTGCATGGCATCTCTTTGGATGACAAGTGAATGCTGGTTTTTTTTCTTCCTCTTCCTCTCCCTCCCCACCCCAACTATTTTCTCCAGGCAGAAAAATACATAAAGTTCAGGAGGCTTCAAAGGTGCCTAGTAAACTATCCAGTTTCCCTAATAAATAAACTTTTTTGCGATCGTTGGAATGCTTTATGGAGAAACTTAACTATTGTAACGATTATACCTAGAACTTAGGTCCTTGGATTTTGTGATATTGGCCAAAGAGTTGTGATACATAGCAATACTATGAGCAAATCATTGTTTGCAGTGTACAGTGGGCCATACACAGCCTACTGGAGAAACACTGAGTCACTTCAGTGGTGGAAACGACTGTGTTTTTACTGGTACTTCAAAGGCTATATTGTCTTACCTGTCTGACCTTGACATCTGCCCTTTCTGACCTTCAACCCTGCAGCCTTCAGCATCCCGGAGATGGATGTGGACTATAATGCCAGCTCGGAGAGCTTTCGATGTGAGGCTCCCCGCTGGTTCCCCCAGCCTACAGTGGTCTGGACATCCCAAGCTGACCTGAGAGCCAACTTCTCACAAGTCTCCAACACCAGCTTTGAGCTGAACTCTGAGAATGTGACCATGAAGGTGGTATCCATACTCTACAATGTCACAATCAACAACACGTACTCCTGTATGATTGAGAACGACCTCGCCAAAGCTACAGGGGATATCAAAGTGACAGGTGGGTTCCTTCACTCCTTTTGTATGGGTTTATTGGGGTGAGGATCAAATCTTAATTAAAACCTAATTTCTATAGCAGATATGTTATGTCCTAGGGCACAGAAAGCTCTAGCGTTCTCTTCCCTGAGACCTTGTTCCCAATTCCAGTTGGGATTGCATTACATCAGAACAAGACTAACACAGAAACAATATTATGGCATGTTGGTCAAAGACGGCAATCAGGCTCCACGTTGTATGCCTTCTTACTGCCCGGAGAACAGTGTTTAGGATTCAGAGGCCCTGTCTAACCCAGTAGGACTGCTTTGGTGAAGCAGAGGGGAAATGACGATTATTTGACACCTTTGCTATCTTCAGCTAGTGCGCTATATCCCAAGCCCCCAACACTGGTTTGGTTCTAGCCTGCCTTTGAGAAGAAGGCTTTTGGTCAGAAGAAGAAAGGCCTTGGAGTCTGCCTTAGTCATATTCAGCCCTTCTGGGACTGACTCTGACCCCACGAATACTGGCCCAGGATGAATCTGAAAGCTCTCATTTGAACTGGCCTCCCAGGCTGGGAAGACCAGGACCCTGGGAGGCCCAGCACTCCAGGCTCCCTGCGTGCTCCAGTGCATACACACCGAGAGCTGAGTTGGTATCAAGGAAATGCAGAGACTAAACTAGGACTTTGAAGACCACCCCTCCTGGGGAAAAACTCAATACAAGCTGTAATGGAGAGAATATATCAGCAGAACTGCTTTCTTCTATTTAGCACAGTGCCACACAGAAGACCAGGCACATTGTAAGTTCCTTACAAATGTTTGCTGAATTTAACTGGACAAATCATTTTCATCAGCTTATTTTTTTTAATTACGTATACGAAAAGGAAACCTACGGAATGGGAGAAGATATTTGCAAATCATGCCTCTAATAAATGGTTCATATTCAGAATACAAAAATTACTCCTACAACCCAACAACGAAAAATCAAATAATCAGATTAAAGCATGGGCAAGGGGCTTATATAGACATTTCTCCAAAGAAGATACACAATTGGCCAACAGCATACGAAAAGATGCTCAACATCACTAATCATCAGAGAAATGCAAATGGAAACCACAATACACTTCATAGCCATTAGGAAGGCAACTATTAAAAACAAAACAAAACGAAACAAAAACAGATAATAACGAGGTTGGTGAGAATGAGGAAAATCTGGAACACTTGTGCATGTTGGTGAGATTGCAAAATAGTGCAAACATTACAGAAAACAGTATAAACGTTCCTAAAAAAATTAAAAATAGAACTACCATATGATCCAACAATCCCATTTCTGTGTGTGTATCCAAAAGAATGGAAAGACGGGTCTTAGAGAGATATCTGCACACCCATGTTACAGCAGCATTATTCACAGCAGCCAAGAGGAAGAAGCAACCCAAAATGTCCATTGGCAGACGAATGGATAAACAAAATGTGGTGTATAAATACAATTGAATACTATGCAGCCTTAAAAAGGAAGGAAATCCTTTCATATGCTACAACATGTATGAATTTTCAGGACATTATGCTACGTGAAATAAGCTCATCACAGAAAAACAAATACTATATGATTCCACTTATATAAGGTATCTAAAGTAGTCAGAGTCATAGAAACAGAAAGTAGAATGATGGTTACCAGGAGCTGGGGAAAGAGAGTTGTTATTTAATGGATATAGAGTTTCAGTTTGCAAGACAAAAAAAGTTTAGGAGATCTGTTTCATAGCAATGTGAATCTACTTAACACTACTGAACAGCACACTTAAAAATGATTAAGACAGCAAATTTTATGTTACGTGTTTTTTACCACAATAAAAAAGTATCTAATAAAAAAATTATATATGAGAGAGCTCTTCCACTATTCCTTGGAACAAATTGGTGACACTACTGGTTAGAACGCTCTTAGGCGCCTATAACGGAAAACCAACTTAAATAAGTCTAAGCGAGAAAGGAATTAGGATGTCTTCTGGAACTAAGGACAGTACTGCAATATGGCTTCAGGAACGACTGGAACCAGGAACTTAAATTCCGTTGGGATTCGTCATCTCTCATTTCTACTTTATTCTCTCTTTACTCTTTAATTTACTCTCTCTTGTTTAAGTCTATAGAGCAGATGTGATTGCCAAGAGCTTCTAGACTTAAAAGTCTCTTTCACTCAGGAGAGTAACCAAACTGAACCTCAATCCCTCCATCCTATTCTACATTCTCAGAAAGGCTGAACTTGGGGTTAGCCACCCTCACTCACATTGTTGGGGCAGAACCTGAGGGAGGCCTTCCCAAAAGAGAATGGGGGAATGAGCATTGGTCATTTGAAACAATGGGCATTAACAGCGGTATCACAATATCCCAATATTAAAGCTCCAGACTGTGTAACTCAGGCCTTCTAGCAGGAAGGGCAATAACTGAACAAACCACCAAAACTGAGCACGGAGCAGACTCTTTTTCCACACGTGCTCATTGGCCACAGCAGAACGAGGGCTCCAGTATCAGCACTGAGACTAAACAGCACTTCTCGTAGCATAGCATTACTCAAAGGTAAAAAAATGACATCATTCCTTCTTGCCATACACGCAGCAGATATTCCATACACGCTTTTAAACAACTGGATGAGGCCCTGGGGTGGACATCCTGTGTTCTCTGACTATACTGCTAATTCACGTCATTCGTCCAACAAGCGTCTATTATGTGTGAGATATATACAAAGCAATTTTTAAGTGCTAATAAATACTGAGCTGAATGACACAACTGTCCTGAGAGCAGTTAATCAGAGTGTAGCTATGACGCCTACGGGAAAGCACTGCTAATTATGGCTGTAGCAGCTCAGCAGATGAGGCAGAGTTTAAGCTGGGTTTTAAAGGAAAGGAATGGTTTTGATAGACTAGGAAGGCACGGAGTCAGGATGTCAGTGTCAGTGTCCAGGCGAGGAATGATAAGGGCCTTACCTGGGGCAGTGGCAATGGGAAGGAAAGGGGAAAGAACCGAAAGTTAATGCAGAAAACAATCGACAGGCCTCAGTGACACAAATGTGAAGGACGAAGGAGTGAGCGAGTGCAAGAGTTCTCATATTTCACCCAGGTTGCTTAGTAGGTTAAAAATGCCATCAACAAAAAATTAGTACACAGGAGAAGCAACACGTTTGGAAGAAAGATGAAGGTTTTAGAGATGCTGAGTCGAAAGTGCCCACTGGTGACGCAGGTAGAGACATCTGATGCTGAGCACATTGTCCTGCATAAGATGGGTCTGGGGGAGAACGCTTCATCCCCCCTCCACATGCTTCCTGCCATGGGAAGGGACCCCGCCAACGTAACCCTTCTAGCCTCTCTCTGCGCCCCTCTCTCACCTCACCAGAGAGGGAGGAATTACCAATTTATCTGAGCGGTGAGTGTGTGAGCAGCTGGACAAAAGTAGCTCAGCTCCCTCTTTCGCGTTTTAACTCTCTAGCTAACCCTCAGGAACCGTAACTTCTCCTCTGCTCCTCCAAGCCATCAGTTGTTCAGGGGTAGAATCTGCCCTCGCAGGAGGAAGCCTGCCCCAGTCTGGTGCTGTCTGTCCCTGGAGGATTGTGGGCCGCAGCTCACTTCCCTGCAGGCAAAGCTTCAGCCCTTATCAGGTTTATCAGAAATAAAGGTGCTTTTTTCTGTCTTCCTCTTTTTGTCCTACTCAGCTGATTGATAACTCAGCTGGAAAGAGGATGTTATTTATTGGACTCCTTTGAACCCTCAAAATAGGTGCTCAAAAATATTCACTGAATAATTATGTTTATAACTGACACATAGAGTAGAAACTGTAGCAACTATGGATCCAGATGTGGAACTCTGAACAGCTTTCAGGCTAAGAGGTGGATTTGGTTGGAAATGATCAGCTGAATGGAAGTAACGCTCATGAAGCTTAAGTGGGGTTCCCGTAACTGTTGTCTTTATGGCTAACACTTACTGAGTGCTCACTATCTGCCAGGCGCTGTTCTAAGTGCTTTACGTGTGTTAACTCGTTAACTTCCAAAAGCACCCTATGAAGTAGATTATTATTATTTCAGTCCTGTTTTATAGGTGAAGAAACCGAAACATGTACAGATTGAGTAACTTGCCTAAAGTCACACAACCAGTTAAGTGTCAGAGCTGAAATGAACTAAATGAGATTGGACTGTCTAGGGAGAAAACAGAGTAAAGAGCAATTTAATTTCTTCATTTCTACCTTTCTCTACTTCAAAATGAGAACACTTTCTCAGCGCTTTGTAGTGGTGTGAAGAAAATGAATAACATGGAACCTATAAAGTTCGCTGCCTGGAGGGAAAAAAAATGTGTCTGAAACAAGGACTGGCTGCAGCTGTTTGTTTAGCCCATTCTTTATTTGGTAACCAGGAATGATCTCTCTGTTGGTGAAGTTTTTCATTTGGCTGAGTGCTACTGAAGTGGACCACAGAACAGGACTTCCTTTGAAGTAAGGATAAGCTCCGCTTTTAAGCCAGTTACAGAAAAATGGGGTACAAAATTGCCCTCAAATTGGTGAACAACCTGTATTAGGAATAACTTGTCCTGTTTTTCGGGTACTGTTCTTTGCTAACCAGCCATGTGAAGAAGACATCCAGCTTTTCGTCTGTGACCCTGAACTTGTCTCTCCCTTCACAGACTCTGAGATTAAAAGGCGGAGTCACCTAGAGCTGCTGGACTCAAAGGCTTCCCTGTGTGTCTCTTCTTTCTTTGCCGTCAGCTGGGTACTCCTGTCTCTCTCCTCTTACCTGATGCTAAAATGATGAGCCTTGGCCACACGGAAGCATGCAAAGTCATTGCTACGACAGGTGAGGTGAATCATGAATGGGGTGGGGGTCAGTTCTGTATGTGCCTGTGCTCCTAATGAGAGTCAAACAGCCCCCTTGCATCTGCTCTAAGGACGAGCCTCTCATTAAGGAGAGACTCAAGCCATCTCCTTTCCCCCAGCAGCCCACGGTACCATATGGCCTAGAGAGAACATCATGAAAATCCCAAAAAACAAGCCCATTTCTGAATAAGAGATACACTCATATGGTGGCAGGGAGACTTCTAGTTCTCAATAAATATTTGCTGAATGGTTGTAATCGTATCTTATTGCTGTTATTTTCAGAATCCCAGGAATCTGCAGAACTATTTTGCTACAAGATATGACCTAGTTTTATATTTCTTGGGGGAAATGAATTCACGTCTAGAAGTCTGGAGTGAACATATAAGATCAAGAAGCAAAAAGAAGCCAAAAGCAACCCACGGAAGACTCCAAGATGAACAAGATGAATCTATCTTCGAAGACACGTATTAAAAGTTGGAAAAATAATCCACCTGAACTAAAGAAGTGTGTTAAGACTGCGAAGTAAAATGCATGTGGAGACGAGTGTATCCCAGTATCTTGGGGACCTCCCCTTACCCATCCTTATTTGGGGAGAGAGAGAACGGGATGTTCCATCTCCCTTGTCTTTGAATCTTTAGTTATATTGCTGTAATGTTGCTCTGAGGCAGTTCCTAGAAAGTTTGGATTGCAATACGCCCATGTTTTAGTCCACAAATTAAGCTGTAGTGGACACGGTAAGAAGCTGCTAATCAGCTGCTGCTTCACAGTCCAGAGGTGGCTGCATTTCAGTGATGGAGCGAATGATTCACTTTTCAGTATGTTGCTTTCTAAAGTGCCTTGGCATCTCCTCCCACCTGACTGATGCTAAGGAAATGTGGGAAATGATCATAATTGTAACATAAAAATAACATAGTTGGGTGACACTGATTTTCTAAATTTTCTGAGCACCTTCTTTTTTTAAACACACAAACGCCATTTTATTACTCAGATGATGTTCGTCCTTGAGTGGCCTGGGAAAGGCCTTTCATCCCGACCGTAGATGACATCATGTCATCGCAGGTTTGAGGCTGCTACTTCCTCTCCTGCATGAACAGTGATGACCTCAGCTTTCAACAGCATCTACGGCAGTGGGACTCACTCAACCAGGGTGATTTTGCAACCTGCCCCCCAGGGACATTGAGACATGTTTGGAGACAATTTTAGTCGTCACAATTTAGGGTGCAGGGCTGCTACTGGCATCTAGTGAAGAGAACCCTGGGATGCTGCTCACCATCCCACAGTGGACAGGACATCTGCCCACAACTAAGAATTACCCAGCCCAAACATCTATCTCGCTGAGGTTAAGAACCCCCGAAGTAGAGCAGAAAGAGATCTAGAAAAAGGGAGCCAACAAGTCCGTTTGCTTCTTAAACTAGGCTCCAGCCTCTGTCTCTTCGGCTGCTGCCTCAGCCCAGAGAGCCAGAACTCAGCTCGGAGCAACCCAGCCCTCCTGATGGCATTATCTGCCAATGACCGATCTAAGCCCCTTTCCCTTCATTTTTCTCTACAACTCCAGTCCGTGAGAGAGCAGCTTGGCTTCCATGTCGAGTTCCCTCGTTTTAAATTCAGATCTCAGGACCGAGCCTAGCCAAAGGGCAGGTGACCGCAACAGAAACATGTACCTGCCTCGAAACACAGAGGCTTCTGACAGCAGGGACAATAAAGCTCTGAAACGAGGCCCTGAGGAGCGAAGCTTCGATAGGAAGGGTGTTTTGTTTCCTGCGCCCGAGCTATGCCTAAGCTATGCTGACCGCTGTCCCCCTGGCACTCTGTATTACGCGCCACCACGACTGTACTACATTTTGGTAGAGAGACCTTTGTTTTGGAGTTCTGATCATTTAAGAGAATGATTAAATACACATTTCTTGTACTGTCGTCTGCCTGGTTTGCCAAAGAAAGTGACTGTCAGAGAAGATGGATTAAAAAGCCACAGGCCAGATTCTAAAGATTAGTACTCAGCACATAACGGGCCTTCAGTGAGTGTTTGTTGAATGGATGGAAAAATGAGTGGGAGGGAAAGCGAAGAGCCTGTGAGCGTGGGCCAGGGAGCTGGGTCTAGTTTCTTAAGGAAACTCCACTAGGCTTTACCAAGCTGCGCATCTCCGTCTGGGAAAATAAGTGGTGACAATGGGCTTGAACACAGCGAGGTGGACAAACCCATTGCTCTAGTGTCAAAAAGATCCGACTCCTGCTACTCAGGAATTATCAAATGCTCAAATCTTAGAGGCAGAAGAACCTCCAAATCATCTTTCCTAGTCCTTCCGCTTTTCAGATGAAGACCCAGAGGGGACGTGTGGGTACCCGGCTGTCTTCAGATTAAGTAACTTGCCAAAAATCACACAGGTAGTTGATGGAAAGATAAAGTCCATAGAAAATTCGATTTCCGAATCCCCAAGGGACTTTTGGAACAACTCTTCCCTGCTGCTTCCCCAGCTTGTTCCCAACAAGCCTTTTGCAAGAAGAGAGCAACATGGAACCAAATCGAGAAAGCAAATGGTAAAGGCACAGACACTCCCAACCCAGCTCACTCCTCTGGCCCTGGCCATGAGCACACAGCAGATGCTCTAAACAACAGACGCGTCGTGTCAGCTGAAGCTCAGGGGCCAGGACATCGTGTATACCACAAACACCTGGGGAAGCTCAGATCTAGGTGCCAAATGCTAACACACTTCAGAAGTATCAACACACTTAAGGGAACAACTAAGTCAAACCTCAAGCTGAGGCATCGCCTACCAGCTATATCTAGGTTGTGTAAAGATTTGTTTGAATGCACAGTGACCTTGATCTGTGCGTTGTGAATTGTGGGACGGGGTGTGCAGGGGTACTGTTGCATAATAAGGCTTCTGCCCCATGGCCTATGTGGTGTGCTCAGGTTCCACTGATGAAACTTACAATTCCCAGTCCCCGTATAGCTGGTGAAGTCTCTGCACAACCAACTGACGGTCTAATGCGCACCATCTCGCTATATGCCTGAGCTCCTTGCACCTTTTAACCTTGTCTTATTTCCTCATTCACATCAGCCACCTCCAGGAGTTTCTGTGTGGCGGCCATGAAAGAAAACTAAGTCACGAAAACAGAACCTTAGCTATGATCTCACTTTTCTGTCTACCCTCAAGCAAAAATCCTTCTCTCCTCCTAACACTCTCCGATTGGTCTTATGCACCATGATTTCACTCTCTTTTATCTGTTCGTGCAATTTAGCGCAAAATCACAGTTTTCTCTATGGTTCTCCATTGCTGTACACTTGGTCTTCCTTAAAGATGATGACAAAATAAGGAAGGGGCTCAGGCAGCCTTTGGAAGTTTGCCATTTTCTCATTGGGGGGCTCCCATAGCCTCGTAATTTTCTACTCTTCTCCTCCAAATACTCAGAGCATTAGTGTGGGGAAGGGCCACTCCGCTGTGACAGAGACAGGTGAATGCTCTCTACCTGATCGCCTGCCCCTAATGAGTGCAGTGCAGCGAGGCCTGCCCGCCGTCACAGGAGCTCGGGGGTTGCTCTGCTCCTTCAGATCTGCTGGGGGTCTGCCCCCAGATAAGCAATCTTATGTTTACATTATTCAGCACCAGGGCTGGGTTTGTGACCCTTTTGCATGACTTTGGCCAACACGTCAATGTTTTTAGTCTTCAAGGACAGCAAAAAGGATTTTAGTGAGAAGAAAAGAAAAAAAGGAAAAAAGCTATTTTTTATCCTGCGAGCTCCAGGACAGAAAAGGCAGTGATCTACCTCTGGCCCCAAAACAGCCTTGGTACTTGGCAATTTAGTGTAGTCACAGAGATCCAAACTGCCCCTCTCACTCAGTTCTCCTCCTTTGAAGATTGGACCCACGCTGGCTATAGTTTTCATCTTTTCATGCTCCATGGTCTTTTATAACTTTTAAAATAGTAACCTGCAGTTTGCGGAGGCCATTAGCCAATTCGGTTCCCTTAACGGCGTCCACCTGCTGAGCCACTGTGCTCTCGTTTTCAAGTGTCCTCTGACCTGGTTTGAATCAGTAGCTATTAGGACAAGGCTTTCAGCTGTGTCCCAACTGTTGAAACAGTAAACATTCTCGGTAAAATGGGGGCGGGGGGGGAGCGAAGTCATTTTGTCTTTTCTGTATGGTGGCCTTGATATTCTTTTGCCCTGCCCAACATATGTACTTAATACTAGCTCATTTTTATTAGTTCTTTCATATACGTCAGTGTTATGGACTGAAATGTGTCCCCTGAAATTCGAATGTTGAAGTCCCACCCCCATTTTATCTCAGAATGCTACTGTATTTGGAGATATGGCCTTTAAAGAGGTGATTAAGGGTAAATGAAGTAATAGGGGTGGGCCCTCATCCAATACGACTGGCCTCTTTCTAAGAAGAGGGGTACAGGGGTGCACGTGCACGGAGAAAAGGCCATGTGAGGACATGACAAGAAGGTGGCCCTCTGGAAGCCAAGGAGAGAGGCCTCGGGAGAAACCAAACCCGCTGACACTTTGATCTTGGATTTCCAGCCCCAGAAGAGTGAGAAGACACATTTCTGTTGTTTGAGCCCCCCCATCAATGGTGTCTCGTCACGGCAGTCCTAGCACACTACTGAGGTCAGGCAATGTCCTCACTACTTTTTACAAACGAGCTCGTTAATGGTCAGTTACCGAATGAGGCGGGTATTATGGAGACGGGTATTTCCGATATAGTTTTTGCCCACAGCAGGGGTCATTTCAGACCTAATCCTGAAGAAGGCAAGGAGAACACTCCGGCTCATAAATGTGTGAGGTGGGGGCAGGGATTAAGCAGAGTCGAGCATTTTCCTGACACATGTATCTCTATCCTGATTGTGTCTAGCCGTTTATTACACTCGTGGAGATAGAGCACATACATTTTTGGTAGTTATAAAAAAAAAATCTGATGATTCTCAAATTTTTATCTTAAGTTTTCATCCCTCTCCTGATTCAGACATGCTCCCAAACACTGACCAGGCCCCTCCATCTGAAGTTACCTCTTTCCAAACGTATCCAAAACGAACTCATTTTTGTGACTTGTAGCATCTACTTAAGTCATCCAAGCTGGAGCTCTCAGGGTCATCTCTGACTCCTAACGAGTCCTAATTAATTGGTCATCAATTCTTGTCCATTCCACTGTTTAAATGCCTCTATAATCTGTCCACTCCTCTTCACCTTTATGGTTCCTGCCCTAATTCAGCATGTTCTCTGAAGTGAGCAATTACCCGGCCTCTACACTCACCTTCCTGCCTCCGGTTTCATTTTGATTTTTAAATTTTTGATCCAAGAACCACAGGCCCCTTGGGGCACGGTGGGAGTATAACTCTGACCTCTTCTGAACAAAGTAATTGCTTCAGTAGGGGAAAAGCAAGAACTCATTAGGCCTGATTCACAATAGAAAAGTGACAAAGTTGAGATATAGAGGAACAAGTCTCTCCTGGTCAATGAGGCATGATGCTGTATTTAGATCAAATGATTCTGGTAGAGTTTCGTGCATGTATTTGAAAGGAAATGAAAAGGAGAGGTTCTTGATGGAAAGACAGAAAGAAAATGGCTACTCAACTAGTGGGTTAAATTAACCAAGAACCTACTAGGACTCAAGATAGGTGACCCTTAGCTTTCCTTAATTCATGTGCAAAAGAACTTGGGTATGTACACATTCTAAAAATGACAGACAATTTTTAATTCAAGGGGGAAAAACTGCTCCTAAGTCCACGACCCTAAAAATGCTCACTGTGTCCATGCACACCCTTCCAGGCTTAGTCCCCTGCACCCCCATTTCACGGGGCTGCAGTCATAGCATTTGCTCAGGTAAATACACAGAATGATATACCTAAAGTTTTGCTAGGTTGGAAAAACAACTGGCCTTACCTTATCTCACGCTTTTCCCGTGAAGAATTTTCCGTGGGGAGCACATTCATCAGGAGCAGTTCCTGCAGGTGAAGGGTGACATTGCAGCCAGGTCATACCTAAAGGGAAAGGTGTCACATTTGGTACGGTGCCGCACATCTTATATTGGTGGAACCCAGATATGGGGAAAATGCCTAATGTCTAGAAAATAAAAGAGACCCTCTTACCAACATAGTACATTCTGACTCTTATTAGCTGCATCCTTTAAATGGGATTAGTAATGTCTACTTCGCAGGGCTTTTGTGGGGAATAAATTATGTGAAATTGCACTGTAAACTATTAAGAAATGACGCGAAGGTAAGGAAAACTGTTAGCATCGCTCATGAGTCTGTATTTCCTATCGAACTCCACACTCCCGCTTCCCATCGTCATATCTCGCACTCTGCTCTGCAGACTGTTCCAACAGAGGCAGACGCAGCTGTTGGAGCTAAGAGAAATGACTGACCGATTTTTCCTGGGATTGTCAGGAATATTTCGTTGAGAGTTTTATAGGAGTAATAACAGGGATCTGGGAGTTATTTTTAATATTTATAAAAGTCGAACCTGAAATTATACTGTTATTAGCAATAAAGCTTTACGAGCTAAATAAAACATCAAGGTTTTGTTGTTTGTTTTTTTCCTTTGAAATAGAATTATATAAAACAAATATGCATCTCGGAAAAATTTATTGTTGCTTTATTTAATAAATATTGTGGAAGGGTCTGTGGTAACAGCAAAGGACAGGGAAAAAGGAATAAAATTAGTCATAATTCTTGGAACTCATAGGAACTGATAGTCCAGTGAAGACAGACAAGTTTAATGTGCAAGAAGAATATTATATGACAAGGGCAATAATAAGGGCAATCACAATAAAGGGAATATATGCAGGACCCTTAAGCTAGACTTAAGTGGGCCTGGGTGATCATGGAAGGCTTTCTGGAGGAAGTGAAACCTTAAAAGACTTCTGGGAGTTATCCAGGCAAAGGCTAATCAAGAAGGAAGAAATGG